TCGCCAAGTAGGATTCCGAAGCACCAGAAACAGCCACGTAGGCTCAGCGCATTCGGGAATTATATATAGGGAGGATATACAATTCAATAGTTATAATAATGAATGATATTAAAATGCAATTAATACACGTAACATGACCATAAATAATCAACATATTTATGGTAATCCGAACCTAATTATTTTTGGTTTGGAATTAAATTAAAATTTACCCAAGCCTAATAACGAAGCATGTAATTTTGTCACATATGATTCCGAAGCACCGAAAATAGCTACGTAGGCTCCGCGTTCTGTATTACTCCCTCCGTTTTAAAATGTTTGTCGTTTTGACTTTTTTTATTCATCCATTTTGCTATGTATCTAGACAAAAAAAGTCAAAACGACATAGCAAAATAGATGAATAAAAAAAGTCAAAACGACAAACATTTTAAAACGGAGGGAGTAATATATAGGGCGAGGAGATTATTTTAAGCGGATAAATTTGTATGAAATTTGAAATCACGCCTCCCGGGTTGAAATTACATATGAACGCATAAGCCCTAGTTTTTTCGATTTTTTTGGTCACTCTGCCCTATTAAGACAACCCACCGCGCCATGAGAATAAGAAGCGGCGGAGGCGGCGGAATGAGGAAAACTTCCGGCAACGGCGGCGGTATGAGGAAAAAATCTGGCTACGGTGGAGAAAACCTGCGTCGTCTCCGCCTCGACGTCGAATCCGCAATGAAGAAGTTTTCGAATGTCGAAGAACTTGTGGAGCACCTTCGCTCCCAGCCCATTTACAATCGCTACAAGCGACGACCGTTCGCCAAAAGCGTTGAGGGAATTTTTGAGGTCTTGATCAGAAGAAGCAACGTCATGGATGGGTCCGACGGTGGCAGCGGTACTCCTGTTGCGAATAAGAGAAGGAAAACTAATGAAGTGCCGAGACGCAGCAGTTCCTCTTCTTCCGAGGCATCCGCCAGTTCTTCAGATCGAGATGCTTCGTCCTCCGATGAGGAGGCGTCCACAGCCGTGGATGCCATTTACGAGGAGAAATTCGAGCCGGAAATTGACTTGACAAGGTCGCTGATGCGGGAAAAGCTGTGTAAGAAGTCCCAGGAATCACGCAGCAGGGGAAAGGTTGAGAAAGTCATGGAAGTCGAGATGCCGGATAACAAGTTGCACTTGATGAATGAGGTAGATAAATTATATGAAGGTGGTCAGTGTAAGACTAGTAACAGCTCCAAAGGCGGTGGGGGTGGCGGGAAATTGATCAGTAAGCGGATGTTTAGTGATTTTGGGGGAATTGATGGAGCCATTGAGGAATTGAGGAGGAAGGTCCTTCTCCCCTTCTGTCATCCAGAGCTGCCTCGCAAGCTTGGAGTCAAACCTGTAACGGGGATTCTGTTACACGGTCCACCCGGTTGCGGGAAAACAACATTGGCTGAGGCTATTGCCAATGAAACTGGGGCGGAGTTTCTTAAAATTTCTGCGGCGGCATTGGTATCTGGAGTTTCAGGTACTGTCTCATTTTAAGTTAAGATTGGTTTAGTGTTTGCGAGATTGAGTTGGATTTAGTGTTTATCTTGAAAGAGGTATTAAACAACATTTTTTTGGGTATGACCTCTTTTATGTAACTTGTAACACAACATGTAATAACTTGTAACACAGTGATCATTTTAATGTGATTGGGTAACCTATTTAAAAACCTTCTGGCACGTTGCATTTAGAACTTGTGTCTAACTTATCAGGTTTATCTTATGTAAGTTGTTGATGTGAGTGACAAGATACCGACTATTTCATCCAATAGTATGATGATATGTAAATATGGCCTTTCTTATAATCGCATTGATTAGCCCTGGCTGCCACGTGCCTATTTAGCCCACCACCGCAGCTTAGGTGCTGAACCTCGATTTGCGAGAATCAGGAAACAACATGGATACAGTAGTATCCAAAAGTTTGCAGTAGATCTTACTGTTGTCCTCTTTGCATAGTAGCTGAACATTGGATATATTGCTATTGCTCTATGAGTTGATTGAACTAAAAGTTTGACTGGGTTCTCGAATGTGGTCTTAGCATCACTTTTTTTGTGATATCTGCTTCACTGGTCTTGGAATGGAAAAGTAGGTTTTGTGCTCTTGAGCAGAAATGACATGGAAGATTTTCATTTCTGCAGGGAAAATTCGTTAGATGCTATCTTCCTCCAATAATGGTCTTGTTTACCACTTGTTCTGTTGTTTATTCTTAACTGCCATCCCCATGGACTATATTGTGAATCCAATTTTGATCAGTCTTCATTGTTAGATCTCTTAGGACACTGATATTGTCACGACTCATGCATGGTTCTCTCGAGAAGAGATCTTGTTTGGAAAATCCATGACTACAGCTCCTTTGAAGTTGTAAGTTCTGGAATAAAAATGATTGAAACCCCCCAACTTCCTGTTCATTCAGTTTTTCTCTGTAATATACTCTTATATTGCTATTTAGAAAGTTGGGAATCACATGCTGTATTATTAAATTAGGTAGGTCTCCCTCAATATCTAATATCTAATTTCATTTGGATCTAAATCAAATTGGCTTGTATACTCTTCTTTCTCTTTGTTTGAATTGAATATAAAAGATTTCGAAAAAAATGGATTTCGGTATTTTTATTTGTTTCTTTGATCTTTTTGAAATTTGTAATTCTCAAAAGTAAAATTTTTGAAGTAGATTACAGTACCTCTTTTTTTTTTTTGTTGTCATTCTAAAGTGGAGCCTCTAGATTCCTTCACATAAATTTGCTTAATGAAGCCTGAATGGCTTTGTGGTTTGTCTGTTGTCAGGTTTGGGGGCATTTAACTTAGAATTTTCAGTTTCTTTTTTTTTT